CCTCCTCCTCCTCCTCCTCTTCCTCATCCCCGTTCTCGGGGATCATGTTGGGGTCGTTCTCGCTCTTGAACTTGGCCACCACAGACTTGAGGGCGCTGCTGGCGCTGCCCACCAGGTCGCTGGTGCCCGGCTCAGGGGAGCTGGCGGTGGAGAGCCCGTCGTCCGACTTCACTGTCATGGGGGAGGACTTGTGCATGTGGGTCTTCATGTGGCGCTTCAGCTTGCTGGCCTGCGTGCAGGCGTGGTCGCAGAGGTTGCACTTGTAGGGCTTCTCCCCGGTGTGGCTCCGGCGGTGGACCACCAGGTTGCTCTGAAACTTGAAGGTCTTCCCGCAGAACTCGCAGGACTTGGACTTCATGGGGGGCTGGGAGGGAGGAGGAGCGGACTGCAGAGGAGGAAGGGGCGGCGTGGCCAGGAACGGGGGCTTGCTGCCGGGCTGGAAGGGCTGCAGCAACCTTTGCATAGGGCTGGGCCGGCTCGGGGACAAGGGTGGGCTGGAGGTGTTGCCGGCCAGCTCCCGCAGCCTCCGGGAGAAATCCATAGCGGGGGGCTCCATCGCCATGGGGTTCAGTCGCAGCACCCTGTCAAAGGCACTAGGGTGATGGGTGGCCAGAGCCATTTCTTCCGCACCCAGGCGCTCAATGCGATGCGGATCCAAATGGTGCCTCGGGGGAGGGCTAAAGAGGGGCGGCGTGGGTGGGAAACGCCCTTCTCCCAGCCCCGACGCCTCCCTCGAGACCGAGCCGGGTATTCTGAGCAGGTTAAAAGGGTTATTGTCTGCAATGTGAATCCCGTGGAGAGGTGGCTGGGAAGGGCACTCTGCACCTAGTCCTGTTGGGATACCAACCCGTGGCGTCAGGGGGCTGCCGTGCTCGCTTTCTAGGTAGATCCGTAAGCCGTGCGTGTTCTGTGCGTGCTGCAAGAGGAACCAGGCGCTGTTGAAAGGCTGTTTACAAGTCGTACACGTGTAGCTGCTGGGCTCGTCTTTACCTGCAAAATAACACAACAAGCAGCGTCAATCTCCGGCCGTCCAGCGGCGGGCGAGAGCTCAACTCCCCGCCTAAGCTCCTCTCCTCCAGGACACTCAGTCAGTTGGGAGCTGGGGACGGGACACCCCAGCTCAGGTGCAGGGGACAGGGATGGGAGAAACAAGGGGGTGCAACACGAAGGTCCAAACCCACCCAAACCATATCCACCTCCTCCCGCCATCCCCAGCTCCCGGTTCGAAACTGAACAGTGGCAGGTACAGCACAAAACAAGCCATGAAAAAAAAGGAGGTGTTAAAACCAATCAATGCCAAATCCAACTCAGCAGACTTTGTGTGACAACAGGCTGCATATATTTGGACTGGGGGTTAAATAAATAGATAAGTAAGTATAAAATAAATAAATCTCCCTCTGAAAAGCACTCACACAGATCAGTTCAAAGCAGCAACCCAAAGCATCACAACCGCCAGCAAGCTGGGCATCAACACGTTATTAGTCTCCTCCTTTTTTTGAGACTAACAATGTGTACAAAATTAGGCATCAACTTCTGCTCCTTAGCACAGATTCAACTCTGGGGCAAATAAAAAAAAAAAAAAAAAAAAAAAAAAAAAAAAAAGAAAGAAAAAGGGAAAAAAAGGAAAAAAGGAGCATGGGACAGGGAAAGGGGAAGGCAGCGGGAGCAGCAGCTCCGCCAGGGAAAGAGCTGGAGGGTGGCCAGGAGGCCTGGCTGAGCGCCCTGACGGAGCCGCATTATTTCTCTCGCGCTGAAAAGAAGCTGAGGATGGTAAATGCCACTTTGGCAAGTAGCAAGCTAACTCTATTTCATGATAATTTATTTTTGGAGATAACACGGACATTATAAAAGAGCAACCAACTAATAAATAACTAAACAAAAAGCCGGCTAATAGTGACAGCAGAAAGCGGCCCCTTCTAATATACAGCAAAACAAAGGGGGATGAATAACTTTTTGAGGGCCGCCCGCGAGGAAAGAGTGCTGTGAGATATGGCAGAGGTGAGGGTGCTTTTATTGATTACTGCGATTTTGCAAATAATTCACTTCCACCCCCACATGGATGCTCTTTGCTAAATGCTGGTAAAACGGAACCGGAGCTAAGAGAAGGATAAATATTCGTTTCCAGCCTTGTCCAGCAGTTCTCACAGAGCTGCTGCTTAGTGATATTGTAAAACATTAACACGGTGTTGAGGTTTGCTGAGGAATAAACCAGGAGCGCTCCAAGGGCATCAGCACTTGGGGTGATACCAATCCCATACTCCTGCACTGACCCAACACTCCCATCCCAAGGGATCTCTGCTCCTTAGGCTAAACAGGCTGTTAGGGTAAGCAGGCTGCACTGAGAGTTGCCCCCATTAAGTTTCCCCTCTTTGCTTATTATAAAGAAAAGGAAAATTAAAAAGATATTGAGGCAGATTTGGAAAGAAAATGTCCACACTTCCTCGCTTTATCCACACCCGTTGTGTTTCCCATCTCACATGGAGGAAGGGAAGAAAAGCCTCATGTGCACATTTTCTTCCTCAGGTAAGCTGAGTGATGATCTGGAGGGTATGAGAGGGAACAAGATATCTTTAGATATCTTTAACTAGGCATCTTACCCCTTCCAACCCAAACCATCCTGTGGATCCTGTGAGATCCAGCGCTGGCTGCACTGCTCCATCCCAGCTTTCCTCCCTGCCTCCCGGCTCTGCCGTTTGGCCTGAGAAGCTGAATCAGGCGAGCGAAGAGACTCAATCGTCTACAAGCAGGCGTTTAACACTTTAATCACTTTAAAAGCCCTTGGAATAATATTTAACATTTCATCCTGAAGCTGGAATAAAATGCACCGTGGTGTTTAGCATGTGCCAGGCGTGAGAGCGCAGATAAATACCTAAATCGGCTGAAATTAGAGGGAAATTCAATTGGACTTTCACATTCCTATGCTCATTTGTGAGCTCGGGGGGTAAAAAAAAAAAAAAAAGAAAAAAAAAAGGAGGAATCTTAAACAGGAAAATTTCATCTTGCTTCACCATAATGAAGTGTAAGTTTTTAACACCCACAGTAGGAGCTAACAACGTAACGCTACCTCGCCTCTCTACCTTATAGATCAGGTCAGAGAAAATAGCATTTTATCTTATAATGAGGATACAACATCGAGCGCTCGCAACCACATTTTAGTATTCCCATCAACTAGATATTCCAGATCATAAGGGCAGCTCGTGTAATCATAATGTCAATGAGAAGGGCTGTTACGACTGAGACTAAAGATTACATGGAAAAAGCTGCTTTGAAACTGGTAATTATTACCAGTCCACTAATAGCAAATGATGCATTACAGTTTCACCGTATAATCTGTATTTCACTCAGCTCCTGCCAGTACGGCCTTATTATATTACAGCGCTCACAAATTCTAAATTCCTAAACTACAGTCATCAATAAATGTGTTACTTGCCATAATTTGCGAAATTACTTTGTTCATAACATCTTCGACTGTTATAAAGACTGGAATTGATTTCCTGCGTGGCAAAATTAGGGCTACATTGATTTAGTGGAGTGTAAAATGTAAGATTATTCTTCATGTGCTTGCCTGAAAAACAAGTTTTCAATTCGCCATCCGTGTTTGGTAATTAAGATAATAATTTAAATTTAAAATCATGTTTATGCACAAAACTCCCCTAAACAAGCCACCGCTTTCAAGGGAGCAACGTAAAACCAGGCAATAAAATAAAGGAGCGAAACAGTTAAAATCCACCAGCCATTTGTCTCCACCTCCTGCTTTGAAGAGACGAGATCTCTAATTTGTCTATTAGTGCTTGATTAATTATGAAGGCTATCGACTGACCATATCACCACCTAGAGACACGTTCCAGTCTGCTGCAGCCTTGCCAAGCTGCAGGAATTATGGCACTAATCCACGCGCTGCCCATCAGCGATGAGATGGGTCTTTACACTGCCACTTTAGTCGCTGGGTCCCCTTAAGAGTCAGATGGGATTGCAGGACCCAAAGGCTGTGTATCCACTGATGTCTCCTACCTATGAGCCAGCCCCTGTGTCTACACAGCCTTCCCAGCCAACATATTTGGGCAAGACCACAGGCAAGTGATGTGGTCCTCACAGCAGGGAGATGCAGCAGCTGCTGCTGGCCGAGGACAGAGCTGGGGAACGTCCCACAGGGCTCTTGGTGCTTCATCGTCCACCTGGACAGTGTGATGGATGTGTTACCCACTGTGATGCCATCGGGGCTTCAGCCAATTTCCAAGAGGCTACCAGGAATCCCCCATATCCAGATGCAAAAAGCTGGTCACTGCTGAACCACCCTCCTTGGCCACCAGCAGCAGGGCTGGACCTCACATCCTCGGCTGCTCCACATCAAGGAATTTCAGGCTGGAAGGGAGCTCCCGCCCTCACTCTCTACTTTTCCTCCAACTCATGTCACCCTGTGACCAACAAGGTGCCTTTCAGTAAAGCCTGACCTCCTCAGCACCACAAACCATCTGCAGGGCAAAGCACAAAATCCCAGTGAAAACTACTCCAACCAGCTCAGAAGACACGAAAAAACACCCCCTGCTTGCCACCACTGTCAGTTCCCACAGCTAACCACACTTACAGACCGGTACTGGGATCCACCTGAATTTCTCTGGCTCCACAATATCTACCTGTTCTCTTTTTGATTTTTTTTTTTTTTTTTTTTTGGTGGTTGATACGCTGAAAAGCTCTTGGTGCACAATGGGCCCCCTCACGCACAGCAAGGGTACTTGTGCAACCAAAAATCAAGCCACACTTCAAAATTTAGTCATTTTTCCACCCCTTCATCCTCCTCCACTACTCAAGGACCAGCCTAGCCCTTCTCACACGGGCACCATGCTGGGAAAAAGAGCTGATTTTCCTCTAAGCCTCCCACAGAGCTGCTGCCTTCTAGAGTACCGTACTCCAGCTGTGTGAGCATGGCCCCGATTCTGCTCTTCTAGCCAAGGAGCACAGCAGGCTGTACCCAGTGTGTTCTCAACACACTCTCCTTGACAGTCTGCCCAGGCCACCCCATAAACCCACCCCTCTTGCTCTTCACCCCTCCAGCCGCCTTTGCTTTACCCACAAAGCGAATCAGCCGCAACTGCACATTAATTTCCAGATCACCAGTGAAGCACTAACCACCACTGCGGCCCCTGCTGACCTCTCCAGCGAAGCCCCCGAACTCCCAAAGCTGCTGGGCAGATCTGAATCACCCATGCCAGCAGTACCACCCAGCGCTCAGTCCTCCCATGCACAATACCACGAGGTGCTGCGTCCAACACCATGCAGAGTCTATTTCATCTACATTTATCAAGCAAAGTTGTCGCCTAGAAGAATGAAATCAGCTTTATTTGACAAGATCTATATTCCATAAATCTGAGTGGCACGAATTATATTTCTATCCTTTAATTCTTTATCAGTTGAATCTTACGTTGGCTCTTCAATTGTTTTGCCCAGAAGAGATAAGCAAAGTGTTGCCAACTCTCCCACATTACCCTGACCAGCTCTTGACATCATTTTCCCAGTCCATAAGCTTTTTTAAA